TTGGGCCTTTAAATATGCATTAGAACAGTTAGAGGAATCCACCAAGCCTCAAGCCTTCCAGGAACAGGCAATATCTGGAACACTGCTGTCACTGTACACAGTGAAGCTAGTATTACATTACACCGGACTTAAGTGGTGCCGACCAACGTAAAAAGCTCCTAAGCCATAATTTTAGCCTTCAAGCTTAACTGAAATTTACAGCTGTTCTCTCATCGATCCATTTATTGTCTCACCTATCTGAGATTTGGGGTAGATCTTTTTTCCCCACAACTGACCAGACCAGTGCCTCAATTACTACAGAGGCCCCAGTCATTCTCTATTTAGACAACCCTTACGTTTTCTCTAGGAGAATTATGCTTGAAAAAGTCAAGCTGAGACTTTCAGACTTAAGAAGACTTTGCCAGCTGTCAAGCATGGTGATGGCGGCATCATGGTGTGGTACTGTTTGTGCTACCAGATGTTATTGTGCATCCATAGATGGTTGAAACCTGGACACAATTGGGTGTTTTAACCTTATCCCATTTCTTGTGCAAGCTATTTTTTTAATTAACTATAGTTTATTTTATGATAATTTCTCTGAATAAGAACAGTTCATTTCTGATTAAAAAATCAGAAATTTCTATGACACCTATGTCCCATAATAAGTAAACCTCCCTCTGGAACTGTAGACATACATAAAACATCACATAAAAGATAAATGATTAGATGATTAATTTTGAAAAAAAAGGGTCTGCAGTTCTGTTAACCAAAACTTTCATGTGTTTTAAGCCAGACAAAATCAAACATTACAAAAAATTTTATACCTGCAATAAAATGCAACAAAGCAATGCAAAACATACAAATACAGGGTGAGGCAAGAATTCATGCAATCATGGCAAATAAGCAATAACTATTAATGCAATACAGACACTGAGAGATTTTGTTTTCTCTTGTTATAAGTTATGTTCCCACACTGGCTTTGATAATGTGTTGATTCATCTAAATGTTGTGACAGGCAGGGAGAAATGCTGTTCATAAAACTACAGCTAAACATAATTTATCCCACTGTATCTCCAAATCCTTTTCTTTGAACTTGTCTGCCGTCATGACTCTTAACAGAAGCCTCTTGTGCTGCGGCAGATGTGTGAAAATCGTCTCCATGTTGTATGAGGTGAGCAGAAACAAGAACAAACTGTTATCTTTCTAATATGTCGCATTTGCTTTTTTTCTCCTTGTGTTGAGCGCTCTGCAACAACTCAGAAAAATGTATTATTTATGAATGTGTGATTTTTTTATCTTTCTTTCTCAATAAAGAAAGATGACTTTTTATACTCCATGCTTCTTCTTCACTGTATGAGGTTGTTAAAATTGCAGCAGATACAGGTTTTCCAACACAACCTACAACTGCAGAGAGATTCATAATGTTCTAAATTGCCAAGAAATAAATTTGGTTTTAGCATTTATAATCACTAATGTATGCAAAACATAATCAACAAAATTAACCTTGCGTTTGCATCTACCCCTACATCAGATCAGCCTAAATGTTGAATAAATGGTAAGATATTTTAAGACCAAGTGGTAAGGAAATCCAGACTTGGGCTTGTCTATGAAACCTTACTGGCTACAGATAATATGTCCTACTAAAAAAAACATATTTGCAAGAATAAAATTAATCAGTTAGAAAGAGTCTGAATATGACAGCTAGTGTCAATAATATTCATTGCCTTTAAACTCATTGAAACGACTAGTAAAGACACAAAATCATGTTTTATTGGAATAGCATAATCTCAAAGTAATAAAATAGTAGTAAAATAATCACATGTAGACATAATTACATCCAGAAGGATAGCATATAGTCTGTCTGATAGGAACTTTTGGGTGACCCTTGTTTTATATTTTACGCTTAATAAACAGGTCAGTGCAGTAGTCAAGTCTAACTTTTATCATCTGGGACTTATTAGTAAAGTCAAGGATTGTCTTCCTCATGATGCCCTTGAGAGGGCTTTTCATGTTTTTATTACTTCTAGACTGGACTACTGCAACTCCCTCTATTAACCAGTCTCTCCTTCGCCGTCTTCAGCTGGTTTGAAATTCAGCTGCTCGTTTACTAACGGGAAAAGGACGACCTGAACATATCACCCCGATTTTATATTCCCTCCACTGGCTGCCCATTTTGTTCAGAATTGTTTTTAAGATTTTGCTTTTAGTTTTTTAATGTCTAAATCGTCTGGCACCCTCTTACCTTAAAGAGCTTTTACATCCAGACATCCCCAGTAGATCTCTAAGATCTCAAGAAGCTCTTGGTTTTTTTCCCAGGACTCAGCCTGTCACCAGAAGCGACAGAGCTTTTTCAGCTGCAGCTCCTAAGGTCTGGAACAGTCTCCCCTTTTCAGTGAGGTCTGCTGGAAGTTTGAATGATTTTAAATTTCTTTTAAAAACTCATCTTTTTAAGCACTCTTTCATTCCAGAGAGAACACTTTGTCCTTGTTTCATCTATGTTATTGCTGATTTTATTGCTTATATTGTCAACCTTGTATATTTTATTGCTTATTGCTTTTATTACCTTATTTTTATCTTCAATTTTTTATTCACCTGCACAGCACTTTGGTTTCATTTTATTTGTAAAAAGCTTTATAAGAAAAATAAATAATAATGATAATAATAGCAAATAATCTAATATTTCAAAATATTGGCAGAAAGAGAGTTCTTTGACCATTCCTCTGCTCAATTTTTCACAATTGTCCACAGTCCTGGATCCTTTCTGACACTCTTTTCTCTTCAGCTCACCCCACAGGTTTTCTAAAAGGTTTTGGTCTGGAGATTAAGATGACAGTGAGTCAAAGTTTGATTTTGTGTCTGGTGAACCATTTTTGTGTTCATTTGGCCACATGTTTTGGAGTTTTTATTCCAAAGAAAAATCCAAAGACAACCCATTTTTAGTTTTCTGGCAAAAGCTTCCAGATTTTTATTTAAAAGGTCCAGGTAATTCTAAGAACCCAAGATGCTGTGTTTTTTTGTCAATGTTTCCAGGACATCTATATGAGAAACAAGCCCTCCGCATAACAGATCTTCCACCATACTTAACAGTTTGCACGAGGAATTTTGCCATACATTCATCCTAATTTAGTCCATCAAACCAAAGCACTTGGTTCTAGTTAAAGTCTGATGAGCTTTTAGCAAACTCAACACCTTCATGCTTGTGATTGTATGATAAAAAAAGCTTTTTCTTAGATTACATGCCAAACAGCTGGTTGGCATGTATCATGTGTATAATCGGTTTATTGGACAGTTGGCCACATTAACATGTCTCTTCTTGCTGGATTTCTCTAACACTGTTTTTTTATGACCTCTCTTACCATCCTGCCAACTGTGTGTGGTTGCAAGATTAACTGGGGTTCTTGTCCAGTCCAGCCTGAAAAGATAGGCCTCTGAGACACCCAATATTTATAATGAATACTACTTAAAAGTTCATAGATGCTGATCCACTTGTGGCAAGTGTGGCGCCCTTGATATTGTAAAGAAAATAAATAAACATATGTGAAAAAAAATATTTTTCTTTAGGTTGGATATTTTTTCACCCCACTGAGAATACTAACTCAAAGGTACTCAGATAATTATTATTTAAAGGTTTATAACAATTTGCACATGATCACCACTATAAGCTTTACTGTTCTTTTCAATGGTAAAACAGGCCTCATTGTGTAAAATTCATTTTTCAGTCAGTTAACAGTGTCGTTCTCAACTTTTTGCAACTTCCTCCACTGAGCGACTATTATTGCCCTGTGTGGCTCAAAGCAGAGACTCTGAGACATCTCAGGCTCTAAGCGCTGGGAGGAGAAAGAGTCATCACTGATGTGACAGCCAGGTGCTAAAGGCGATACTTCAACAAGCATGCCGTGGCTCCACTTTCATCAAAGCAGGGAAGAAGTCACAGCCGAAAGGCTCAAATGAGCAGCTACAAACAGCCATTTTAATGTGCACGAGTATTTTAAGCTCCAGTTCACATCATCTTTGAGTGCGTCTAATACAAACAATATGCCACTTTCTAAATATCAGCACAGACACTTAAAGTGAGCTGCCTTTGTTCCGGCCAAAGGAAACCCAATGATGAGAAGATGATAAAAGATCAGAGCTCAGTGGTACAGCTTTCAGGGATGTACACAGTGTGTGTTTATCCAAAAAAACACACGGATGTATTTCACACAAGTATTGCTGTTTCCTGCCAGGCCTAGATTAACCGAGCAGACAGGCAGAAATTCTACTAGTGAGAAGGAGGTGCAGGGCACTGGCTCCCTAATCTGTTTCTGGATCATTTGTGAACATCTCCTGGGGCATTAATGACTTATGTGTAAAAATTCAGCAACACAGAGTGCTGCAATGGTGGTAGATTTGGAGTATTTTTATTGTTTCTATATCTTCCCTGAAGACATTCCAATAAATTATCAGTTCTCCTCTGTCCAGCTGAAAGTTTCATTCAAGTAGAACAGATATGCCTTCTGATCTTCGTAGTATACCATTGCTTGATCTTCAAGTCTTTCTGGTGCAGCACTTGACTGGCTTGACTTGTTTGAGTCTTACTTCAAAGACAGGGACTTTTCTGTGTCAATAGGTAACATTACATCAGAGCTGACAAAAATCAAGGTGTTCCTCAAGGTTCCACTTTGAGGCCCCTCCTATTCATTACCTTCATGCTTCTCATAGCTCAGATTATTACAAACTGTCAGCCAGTCAGTCATTTTCTATACCACTTCCTCCATAGTGGGTCGTGGGGAGGCTGGTGCCTATCTCCAGCAGTCTATGGGTGGGAGGCGGGGTCCACCCTGGACAGGTCGCCAGTCCATCGCAGGGCAACACAGACACACAGAGGACAAACAACCATGCACACACTTATTCACACCTAAGGGCAATTTAGAGAGACCAATTAACCTAACAGTCATGTTTTTGGACTGTGGGAGGAAGCTGGAGTATCCGGAGAGAACCCACGCATGCACGGGGAGAACATGCAAACTCCATGCAGAAAGAACCCCAGCTGGGAATTGAATCCAGGACATTTTTGCTACAAGGCAACACTGCTACCAACTGCACCACCATGCAGGCAATGTTTCAATTATAACCAACACCAAGATAAATTACCATAACTATGCAGATGGCCCATAGCTCTACATTACAATGTTACCAGGTGACTATGAACCCATGCGACCATTGGGAAGATGCAAAGGAGAAATCAATGAGTGCATGTGCCATAATTTTCTTCAGTTGAAAAAAAACAAAACTGAAGTAATTATTTTTGGAACAAAGGAGGACTGATCAAGAATCAGCACACAGCTTTAAATATTACAGCTAGATACCACAGATCGGGCCTGAAATCTGGGTGTAGTGATGGACTTAGACCTGAACATTCAGAGGAATATAATACCAATCACTAAGTCAGCCTTCAATCTCCTGAACAACATTTCCAGGATTAAAAGACTAATCTCCTAGCAGGATCTCGTAAAATCATCCATGTGTTTTTCTTTGAATTGATTACTGCAACAGTGTCTTCAAAGGTCTGCGTAAAAAGTTGATCAGGCAGCAGCAGCTGATCCAGAACGCTGCTGCCCGTGTCCTCACCAAAACTAAGAAAGTAGGGCACATTACCCAGGCTCTCAAGTCCTCACACTGGCTCCTATATCTTAGAGAATAGACTTTAAAATACTTCTATTAGTATTTAATCACGTAATGGCTTAGCACCAAATACATTCAAAATTTGTTGTCGTTGTGTCAACCCCTCCTGACCACTTAGTCCTTGTGGTTCAAGCCTGCTCTGCATCCCCAGAATCAGAATCAAACATGGAAAAGCAGCATTCAGTCTAATCTGGAACAAATTCCCAGAAAACTACAAAAATGACAGATGCCTGAATTCTTTAAATCAAGGTTTAAACCCAATTTGTTTAGAGTTGCCTTTGACTGTTCTATTTAAACTTTTAACTGAAACATTGATTTCAGCCTGTAGTCCCACTTTTCTTTTCTTTCCTTTAATTTACCACTGCATTGTACTTGTTTAATGTGTTTTCTTTTCTTATATTTGCATCATGTGAAGCACTTTGAATTGTCTTGTTGCTGAAACGTGATATATGTGCCTTGACTTCAAATGTAAATGGGTACACAGGGCCCTGGACAGTGTACATCTCTTAAAAAAAGACAAGAATCCCCTTCAAATTCTTCAGATTAGAGGGCATCTAAAGAGGGCAGCTAAACAGCTTAACTCATTTTGGGTTAGCAAGAATAAAAAATCCTGTGAAAACAAATAAAAACAAAACAAAGTTGATATTTTTCAGAATCAACATCTTACCCCACCAACATCACTGCAGATTTGTTTACAGGGTCCCCATGAAGACAGAAGATCTCAGCCATACCCATCCTGCGGACTTCTGATTATTATCCAAACAACAGCCAGTTTGAATTTGGTCTCTGTTTTTCCACTAATTTAGCCAAGTCACTCTCATTGTGAAAAGGATCCGCTCGACTGGAGCAGAGGCTGAGGTGAATGACAAAAGGGATTTAAGCAGAGCTGAAAACAATATATTCATTGTACAAATCTGTAAGGAGGATTAGTGCTAATGTCTCCTATATAAAACTGGCATTTTGTCGCTGGTTGCCCAAATTTGGGACTGTGGAAAAAAAAAAAAATCTTTCTTACCAAAAAAACTTAGTATTACTTAAATAATGAAATTCCTTGCTGAAACAAATTGTGCTTTAGGGCCTTGACTGCAAATTAAAGGTGCACCTTTTAAAATAAATATATGTCTTAAAGTGACCTTCACATTTATTGGCACTGCTGGTAAAAATTTGTAAAAACACTCACTGAAAAATTTGTTGCAACTCTTTTATGGTGAGTGCTGTATATTTAATTTATCTTCCTTACCATCCTCCTCACTGTGTGTGGTGGAAAAATACTACTTTTAAAATTTTACTTTGACTGTTGATATGGGCAAGTTTAGGTGAGGAGTGAATGTCTTATAACATTTTCCTGACTTTAATTGCATGTTTTCTTGTATTTCTCATCTGAAAACAAAACAAATGGCCATCTGTGTCAAGTCATATTTGTACCCCAGGCAAACAGAAAGTCATGTATTACAAATTAAAAATATGTAGACACTCTCATCGTCAAAAAAACAAAACAAAACAAAAACTAAAATAGAAATAAAAACCTAGTCAGTTAAATTTGTTTATAGGAACCGTTGCAAGGACGTGTGCCACTGATGAAGTAAAAAAAAAGATTATTCTTCACCTTAAAATTATTTGCAGCCGAATAAATAAACTAAAATTTAAGGAAGTTAAAAAATAATTATTTTTAAAATATTTTTTACCAGGTATGTCAATACATAAGGAGACTGCTGTACGCTTCAAATATTTATTTACCTGTACAACAGATGTGATCTGTAAGTTCACAGGAGGAAGATTCTTTAATAAATCCATTACAGATGAATTTATCTGGTAACCCATTAACATTGAGCTAATGTAGATGAGCTCATAAAGACTGCACAGACACGGAGCAACGCCATTGCTCATGCTGTTAAACAACAAGATAATAGCAATGTTTTCTGAGGCCATTCATGAAAAAGTAAGAAACGTAAATCTTGGTACATACAAATGTGATACATGTGTTTTTTTCCAAGTACTTACATTGTTCCATATTGTTTAACTTCTAACATAGTTCATCATATCAAATCCAAAGCAGGGCAAAGCCATTTTATACAACATTGCTTAACCAGTGTTTAGTGGTTAAGTTATCTGTTATCTGAGAAAACCGATACACTTTTTAAAGGAGAGAAAACCAGAATTAAAATATTTCATAGCAAAACAAAACTTTGAATAAAGAGCTGCAGTCCCAGTTCCAGTTTGGGCCACTCTGCTGGTTTAAGGTCCTTGTTCAAGGGTAATTCAGAGGTGGGATGGGTAATGACTGAGAATTTTCATTAGCTCCCCAGATGCCTGCTGTTTTGACCTTTGGACTGCAGCAGTTCTCTCTGCTCATTATGTTGCATTTTACTCATTGTCTACCTTGTTCATGCTGAGCTAAGTAGACAAACAACGCATAGTTTAGAAAGGTACGCCAATATTTAACAACAAACTGCAGCTATAAAAGGTATCTCATGCAGTTTTAAAGGACATTGAACAGGACAGAAGATATGGCTAATATAACATAGACAGATAGACTGAAAAATAAATTTCATTCTTGTTACAGCTGGCAGTGTCCACAGCTCAGGCTGCAACTTGTTTTCATTTATTTATACACAGAGACACACTGACAGGCAAACCCAGAGTTATCCAAAAACATGCTAAAGGCCACTGAATTAATAAACAGTATAAGCTTTTATCAGACTTGTGAGATGAGAAGGCTATGTTTATTTTTGTTGCCTTCTCAGCCAGCTTTCTGTAGCCCTGACAGAACAAGTTGGGCCTATCCGCGGCAGCACCGGTGCAGTTTACTGTACACATTTTCCTGCACTATGCTTGTTTGTTTTTGTGAGATGTGTCTTTTTGGCCACTGTCACTGTATGAAATCTTTTCTTTTTTACAATTGCACTGGTGGGGTGGTATGTTATATGGAAGCCTTTCAAGCTATGAAGACAGTGATAGAAAAATTTATTTTGGTCAGTCAGCAACATCCTCTTTCTCCGAGTTCACTCATAATGTTTATGTTGAGTTTTGAGCACAAGTCAACAAATGTAAAAAGTGAAAATAACAAAGTTACCTTTTATCCTACGGAGAACTGGAGGTATTTTATTGATAACATCTGGGGAAGAGATGTTTTTTGATCCCGTAAAGCATGCAGTGTGCAATCACAGAAGCCCAGCTGAGGTAGTGCACTTCAGGAAGAATGCCACTGCTTTAATTGCAATAATAACATTTTACCTCACTACCAACTGTCCTTTTATAGCTTACATCATGAAAAATCTTACCTGTTACATAATTAGTCAATTAGATTTGGTAATTTCCTTCACCTCATGAAAAAGAGGTTCAATTGTTCTTTAAACTTTGCTTTTCTCCAGCAACTGAAGTTAGCAAACAGAGAGTGAACTTTACTGCTTTATATATAAGTATAGATTAACATTTGACATTCCTGTTTTCTTTGGCCTTTTAAAAGACTTTATTTAATTATTTATTTTTCCAACAGTGTGCACTTATTCCAGCAGCAAGATAAACCACAAAAATAATATGGTGGAGGTTAGACACAGCATCAGAAAAGACTGGATGACATTTTATATTAAAGCAGACCGATTTCTTTTTTAGATCAGTTAGGCTTACCAATACAATACAATATATTGTTACTTTCTTAAAAGTCAAAACTTTAATTTTCACAGTATTTGGAAAAATTAACTTCAAACTGTTTGACTCAGTGAGATGTTATGGATATATTGGTAGAATTTTGGCCCATTCTTCCTGACAGAACTGAGGTAACTGAGTCAGGTTTGTAAGTCACCCTGTTCACACACACCTTTTCAGCTCTGTCCACAAACTTTCTAAGGAACTGAGATTGGAGCCACTCCAAGACATTGAGCCTGTTGTCCTTTATCCACTTTATAACTAATTTGGATAAATGTTTATCTTCACCATCTATTTGGAACACACAATTTTGCCCAAGCTTCAGATTCCTGGATGACATCTTGAAATATTACTTTAAAATTTCCACTGATTTCTTTTTTTTTTTTCATGATACTCCTCCATACTTTATAGTTGGGATGGTGTTCTCAGCCTTGCAAACTTCCCCCTTTTACCTCCAAAAGTACTGATAGTCATTATGGCTGAACACAATAATTTAATCCGAACACAGAATGTCTCAAGAAACTGGATAGTTAACTCTCGAGGACTGGACCTGGGCACCTCTACTTTTTTCCACACAAAATTGTAGTGAACAGATCCTGTTTTAGCTCAAAATACACCCTTTACCAGTCCTAATTGTCCACAAAGAATTATGTCAATAAACAAACTGTATCACACACTGGAAATGAGACCTGGATTCAATGATTGAAAAGACAATGCTGCATTTCATGCACCTCAGAAGTTATTACTTGGATATTGGAATGATGTCCCACCCAATGTAAGTCCAGTAC